TCCCTCCGGTCTTTCTAATTCTGTCTTGGCACCAGGCTCAGGTGACTGAAGGAGGGAGGAGGGAAAAGCGCGGCAGTTACAGCACCAGTCAACCATCACTAGAAAATAATTTCCGCGCAAGACACTGTCCCTGCGTCCACCATGCTGCGGGGCACACGTAGGACATGGTCGCTCGCCACGATGAAAATTTTGCTCAGAAGAAGGAGATGCGATCACTGGAACAAGATTTTTATTTTCCTGACGTTAAGGATTCTGTCGAGAATCCTTAATCGCAGGTAATCGCAGAAAATTCTGAAGCATGCGCAGATAAAGGGTGATACATGCACCGATTTCACGGTATTTATAGTTCGTAGCGGACGCGAATGGCCAAGCATGCAGTAGCGGGGACGAAGAGAGACGCTAACTCCTAGGTTGCAGCTCACACAACGGGACGTGGCCATATTTTCAGCCTTAACGAGGCCGAAATCCTCGCAAGAGGTGACAACCACGTGAGCTGCGAGCTGCTCGAGTCATGTTTCTCAGGCTCCAGTCCATCAACAAGCGCAACAATTTGACGTTCCCAAATGCCCTCGCACTCCATTTACATGTGAAATTGCATAGAGATAGAGGCAACCATCCACCGCAAAATTAGGAGACCGAATGAGCCACTGCCGCAGCAGGAAACTTCGGAACTCATTTCTCGGCTTTCGTACAGTTTAGGCAAACGAAGTTAAATGAAACCAAAGATATTGGGAGGCGTGACAGCCGCTTGAGTCGCAAACTCTTCATGACACCATCTTCTGATCCACAACTCCCCATAAAACGTACTGATCCTCCCTCCCTTCAACTCAACCTCAGACTTTGTCTGAATAGAGTACTAAGCTATTCCGGAGACTTGTTTATACACACGAGTTTCAGGGACAGTACCAACTGCAAGAGGTGGGATGCCAAGCCATTATCTCGCTCTTCCGCTACCTCTATCTGTTGCTGTCTCTTGTGGTAGGTTATAAGATGAATCTAAAAATGAGGTTGTTCTGTGCCAGTTTTGACTGCCTCGTGCAACTAATCTTTTTGCTTGAAACAATAATGATTTACTCCAATACTGTCCTCCAACGCCCCTGAAATCCCTCCTTACTTTACCTTTGAACGCTAGGGTATCAGTAGTCACTTAAGACGGGGATAACAACTGACAAGATGTTTTTAATATGGCTATACTTTATGCCAAAACGTTGGGTGTAACCTAAGGGCTAACATTCACGACGTACGCGGAGTCCATAGCTCCTGTGAGCCATTCCCGGAGTCGGAGGACTTTAATTTGCGAACGCAGCTAACTTTTGTTCATCTCAAAGTGCCAGTAGCGTCAACTTCAATTCCGCTAATTGCAAAGTAACTATCGTCTCTTACATTTTATCGCTGATTCCCATGAAACGCAGTCCAATATAGACTTGGAAACTTGCGTCTCACCTTACTTATCTCCCGCGTTCCATTCTCTTGTAATGGACCAAAGACTACGTATGCCCACTGTAACCACCGCAGAAGATTTATAATTTCTTCTACATTTTTTCTGTTGTAGTTGAGGAAGTGGATAAGAACCTGACTGAGACAAATCGCCTAGAGGAAAGCGTGAACCAGAAACTGGAGATGATAAACGAATTAGATTACCAGTTGTTCGCTGACTGGTCAAACCGGAATATCGCTTTCGCCGCTTTCTTTACTGAATGCCCAAGCGACAGCGAAGTCCAATTTCAATCACATAGCCGGCAGCCTAGTACTGTTAGTGAAGTCTCTTCTGTTTTGGCGAACAATACTTGGAACGCCTTGGCTCCGCGCATGCAGTCCTCCGAGGAGCCGCATGACAACCCCTGCAGCCGCTCTGAGTCGGAGAATTCCATGGGTGACAGAGTTCCCGTTCATAGCTCCGCCGATGTGATTTTGGGTCGCATGGAGAAGACTTATAACAGATTTCTGAAGCATGGTAAGTTTAACCTGTGCGTCTACTTTTATACCTGTGGGTGTAATAGCCATCTCAACCAACCAACTGACCAATCTGGTCAGAGAACATGTTCATCTCGTTGTGGCTTGCAGTTCAATCTAGAGCCCTCGCAAGCAGTCGCATAGCAACTTGTGGTATATGATGTCTTTGTCAGTTCCACTCGATCACATATTACAGGTATACGAGGGCTCTAGATTGAGCTGCAAACCACAACGGGCCGGGCATGTTCCCTAACCAGATTGGTGAGTGCCCTACCACCATTACATTCCCGATCGCAACCGACACGAACCACAGGCTCGTAGCTCAATGCTACACTACTGCACTGCATGACTAGACGATCACGGGTTCGAATCTCGGGTTTCCCCACACCTGGGATTGGGTATAATGGACTGATGGCGGCCGCTAATCCAGAAATGGTCATTCAGGTCCCCTTGTCTTGGTCGGTTCCACTCCATCTGTTGTAACGGATTTCCAAGGCCGAGATGTCACCGCCTAAGTTTGTCTTGTGTGAGCCCCCAGGGAAGAACACGACAAGTGGGCGAAAGCAGAAGTCTTTGAGTGTAATCGTACAACATATTTAGGACAAAAAACGCGTGTAAGCTACGTCCATCGGGCCAATCAGCTTCTGTCCTGACTTTGCTACCGGCACGATTGACCGGCGACTCGACGGCTGACTGTAGCTTGAATTTTAAATTATTGACTGATTGTCTAGCCTACTGTGAGCGCGGCTGGTGCTTGTACGCTAGCTGTTTGGTCCCTTCTAACACCATCAACTCCAAAGTGTGGCAAAACCGTGCTCTTTGGACAAAATACTAAACATTGGACTAATAGACACTAGCCCGCATCGCTACATGCTCCTCCACGAGTCGACGGTTTTCTTATGCGTAGAGTATAAACCAAGTCCCTTTAAGTAAGTTCTGAAATTATTACACTCGTTTTCAAATGGATGTGCCTGCTCAGCGAGTTTTCTAAATAGGCTAGTAGTGTCAAAACTGGCTGACATGGTGGTCTTTGCAGAAAAAGTAGTGCTAGCTTTCTGTGAAAAAAATGCGCTTGGAAAACCTCGCGTTAACGTGTTTTACCTCGTCCCGTTTCAAGACAAAAGTTCAAGATTAAAATTAAGGTTTGGCCTGGATCTGGATCTGGACGATACTTACTGTCAGTAGTTTGCACAACATCGCATCTATTTCTTTTACTTGGGAGAAAATACGTTTTTAGATTTGCTATGACTTGAGTTTAGGATATAACTTAGGATTATGAGCTTGCTGAGGGAATTAATGGAGGCTATGATTGGGTATGGACCTTCTTAGGCTTTAGCAATAAAGGTTTAGACTTATTAAGCGGTGGCGCGAGGATCTCCTGTCTTGTATTTTAACTTGGGTACTAGGTGTCTCTTCGACTATTTTCCGGCGCTCAAATAAGGTCTACAACAGTTCATAGAGGGAGCGCACGAAACTTTCCCTCTTCTATTCATTTGGAAGCCGTTTTACGACGTGAAACTTATACTTTAAGATAGGGCGTATGTTAAAATAAATAGCTTATTATGCAGTCTCTTTCTGGCGTATAATTAAATTCAAACAGGCACGGGAAACGAGGCTGAACATGCAAAACTTAAGTAAGGCTGTTCCTCGGAGTGTGCTCCACACAAGTGGCAGGAAATGTGTTCAAGTAGAAGTGGGAGTGCTACCACATAATGATTAATCTCAGGCTATGCACCCTTCTAGGATGGTATAGAGCATAACATCCTAAGCAGACATCTCTATTCGAAGAACATTCAAAGATTTTGATAAACGTTTTACAAGTTTTGGCGCCTTACGCTTCCTTGGTACCTTTTAAATCTATTGTGAAGATTGTGTAAACAGCGAAATTTATTGGATCCATTAATTTCGAGAGTGCTCATCAGTTGCTTCCTCTTATTGCATAACGCGAATAACGTAAGAGAAAATAAAAAAATGAATTCATACAGAAAAATTGATATAAACAGCAAGGTCATAGGAAATGGCCAAGAGGCTAATCGATAACGTGGGAAAGTTAAAACGTTGTGGGCAGCAAAAACGGGGAAAAGACGTTTAAGGCAAAAAATTGGGAAGGGAATGGGTAAACAGGGAGCCGGTGTTACCACGACAGAGTTAGGTTCAGCAAATGCTCCAGCTGTTTACATAGATCGGGTTTAAACCGCCGTATGTAGGCTGCCTCCAGGTAGCATAAGGCTATTCACGTTATGCAATGAGAGGAAGTAACTGATGAGCGCTCTCGAAATTAATGGATCCAATGAGTTTTGCTGTTTACACAATCTTCAAAACTGCACCATGGAAAATATGCTTTAAAAATATATTGGGGTAAAACTTTGCAAGTCTGATTTTGTTTTTGGTTTAAGAATGTAACAGATGAAAAATATTGCTTATTCTGATGGAGGTTTGAGCACTGTAGACAGATTGCACCTGCGCCACTTTATTAGAATTTATGAGATAGTTTGGTGAATAGGCACACATTCATTTGCTCGTTTTTTCATAAATCAAATGCAGAAATACAGAAAATGTATTAATGCTAGAAGAGTACAACCAGGTAGTCCATATGTTGGCCAAAAATGGTCAGAGGTGAAGACTGAGAGAAGAGACTGTTGCCGTACTGAAAAGAAATGACAAGCAGGTTTTTTGGTCTGTTTGGGAGCAGTCTAACTTCTCAGACCTACACGCAGTTTGTTGGTCCAGACAAAACCCACTTGCATGGTCCGCTCGCCATTGTTGCTACCATGCGTTGTCACAAGAGCTTTCAAGTGTCCGAAGAATGCCTCAGACAACCTGGCTATTCACCCCGGCAACCGCAAGCTAAACACTGGCTGTACAAAGAGTCTGTCTCCCTCTATTTCAGATACAAAGTTTTTATGTTAAAATCAAGGCTCATTTCGGAAGATGCAGCTTGCTCTACAGGAATATTTAACTGCCGGTTCGACACTGATATATGTTCCCCCTATACTTCAGGTAGCCGTGTGCTAACTCTTTAACCTCAACTCCAACTCTCTTAATCCTAAGAGAAATGCCAACCCTAATCGTCTGTTCCATAGGGAAAAACCAAATGCAAATGAATGTCGCGTGGGTTGACAGGCTGCCTATACTTCCTCAACTTCGAAGTGGCTTAGACACATCAGAACACCTGTATTTAAAGTACCCAAATTGAGCAAGGAAACTTGGTTTTATAACTTCCTTGCTAATGCCCCTGGCGTGTTGTTTTGAGATGATACTTTTAAGGAAGATGAACTTCTTTAGTATAATAATCTAAATTATTTCATTCGGCTGGAAAAGATGAACACTTCGTCGTTAAATTGTTGCTTAAGTATACGGATTCCAATAGTTCACTGGGCGTATGCGTGCATCTCATTGGATGAATAAGATGGACTATGATGGACATTCATCTAAAAATACACACCTATTTAGAATATTCTGGCAAACTAGTGCATTTTGCACTAGCACAAACGGTGACTCGGGCAAAATCGAGAACGCTGACATTATTAGGGCTGATTTTGGGTACACTATATGTATGTTTATAAGAAAACCTTATTGGGGATTTTAAGTGAGTAAAACAAGTGTTTTCGGTGTGTTGGAAGAAGCACTTTTAGGACCGTCTTTTGTTGCACTACCCCTTTACTAAATCAAGATGAGTGCGGCAAATACTTCTCAGCGCGTAATCTGGAGGATACAGTGAGGTTATCTTGGAATGAACCGATTGTTGAAGTAGAAATTAATTATTTCATCAGATTGGTTAATCTCAGTAGCTCTTTCCAGGTAAGAGCTTTAACCTGTCAGGGATCGCAGCTCAACTGGGCAAATCTTCAGTAGAAGATAACCTAATTTAGTGGATTCGTGGGCACGGCCATTGGAGGCAATCGTCTTAAAATATGTACTGCGTGTGGTTTCTGAAACCTTATTTTACAGAATCCTCTGACAGCGGAGCCTGGACATAGGATCCTTGGGCCAGCTCAATTACAGTATTGGCCACAGAATCACCAAATACGCTTGCGTGATGCAACTTATAGCAAGGACGCTGGGAGCCTATTTGTTTCGGAAAACTCATGAAAATATAAAAAATATGGCTGCTACATAATTTTTTCTTCGCTCCGAGTACGAAAACCCGATGTTTGAACTGAAACACCTAGTGTGGTCAGTCGTTGGACAACCGCCATCCTTCGGACGTTCTCAAATTATGCGTAACCTCAATTCCTCCACAAGTGTCTCACCATCTACATTCTGCAAAAGGGCCTTTTCTTGAAGACCCACAGCGAAAATGCGGTAGCAAACTCCCATAGGACTTTGAGCACCCTTGCTCGGGTGCTGTCTCCGGAAGATTGTGAAGGTTGTGAAGCATATCCACGGATGGTGCACCACGTTTAGGGTGGCCACCGGTGGCTTACTGATCTCAGCCGGTTGATACGCCCACACTAACGACCGATATACGCTCGTTAATATCGCGTTTGCCTCCCTCTCCCCCCCCCTCCCTCCACTAGCAGCCGGCTGTGCATCCTGGCTTAGTAAAGGCTCTCCAGTTAGTTCTATTCCCCTTATTTCTGACGTGGGAACACGCTCCGGT